AGCCGCACCGGAGTCTCGGAACCAGCCCCAGTACAGAACTCCATGGTGCCCAAACCCACCCAAATTCAGCCTCCCGGGATGTCTGGAGCAGCTCCAACTCGAGTCCCGGGGTACCCCCGAACTGCAGCCCTGGGGGTGCCCAAGGAGACCCTCTGGGAGGCGCTGCCAACCCCATCTCACCCCCCAGCCCCTGCACCCAACCGGGCCCCGTATGCTCAACATTCACCAAACCAGAACCACCCCCAGGAAAAGGGAGTTCTGGAGGGAGGAATGAAGGTTTGGACAGAATTCCTGCCTGCCAGAAGAAGGAGAGAGATGGCCTGGGCACCATTTTGGATGGGAAGCTGAGTTCTGGGGTGTCATGGTTAATTAGGGGTTCCCTGGCTCTGTTCGGCCACAGAGTGGCTGTGACAGTGGGAGAGGGGGAAAGGCCTGGGTGCTGGGATGGGAGTGCACCCCATGGCACTGGGCAGCCACCACTATCACAAGTTGGGGCAGGTCTCCGTCTCCTCCCATTCCACTTCAAACGGGCAGCCCCAAGGCTGGGTGAGACAGCAGGGCTGGGCCACCCTCTGCAGTGACAGAGCAGCGACAGAGCAGTGACAGAGCAGCGTGGCCCTTCCCAGGACACTGCCCAGTACCTGCCCCCCAGGACAAGGGCAGCCAGGGGAGATGGGACCCAGGGAAGGCTGCATGCCAGGGTCAGTGCCCAGTACAAATGGGATGCAGGGGAGGGTGCCCTCCAGGGACAGAGAACCATGGGTAGGGTCCAGGTGCCCCCCAAAGCTGGTACTGGTGCAGCAAGTGTGAGGTGACACCACCCTTGCCTCCTGCCACCCTCCACCCCCATCCCAGGCCAAGAGAGTGGGAGCCGGGGCTGCGCCTTTACACACTCGCTTTATTGACCCCTTTGTACAAAACTGCTTTTCCCGCTTTATTTTACAAACCCACCACCCACCCTCGGGAGGGCAGGGGGGCAGAGGGGACCCCACAACCAGGGAGCACCTGGCTGCTGCTCACCCACCCCGTCTCACCTGTGCTGGGGCCCGGGGGGGGCAGCAGTGGTGGGGTGAGCCCTGGCAGGGTAAACACTCCCCATGAGCTGTGGGGAACTTGGGGGTGGGAGGGGATGGGATGGGGGGGCTTTAGCCCCAAAACTCGGCATCAAATCCCGCTGCCTCTAGCGCATCCTGCCTCGGTCCCTGTCCTGCCTCGGAGGAATAATAAATAGGCTCAGTGAGTAGGTAAGTTGGGTACTACATAAAGGGCTACAGCTTGATATATCCTCACTAGATAAGAGGGGGCGAGGGGTCCCAGGGCTCCTCGTGTACCCCCAGTGCCCTGTGCCAGGCCTAAGTGCTCGGGGGCCGGGGCTGCCCGGCTGGCGCAGGGTGGGGGCCACAGGGGGGACCCGGGGGGTGATGGGTCGAGGGGCTCTGGGACGGGGAGAGGGGCCCGAGGGGCAGCCCAGCCCCCCAGTGTGGGGAGGGAGCTCGGGTGGCTCAGCCACCCCCTGCCCGGGCTCCCACCGCTCGTGGTGCCAGCACCCTGCGGGGTGGGCACCCAGCGCAGACCCACGGTGTCCCCTTTGGTCACCACACCTGGCCAAGCTCCACGGATGCCCCGAGAGGGCCACGCTGTTCTCACGGCCCCCCTGTCCCATCCCTCCAGCTCAGAGCCCCCAGCGCCGGGTGCCAGGGGTCCCCCTTGGTGTCGTCGCGCCCGGGTCCGTGCGCAGCCCCGCTGAGCCCGGCTGCCCGGGGTTGGGCCGGGCCCTACAAGTACGTGTCCTCGCTCTCCCGGGAGCTCAGGCTCTCCTTGGACTGGTGGTGGGGGGAGACCTGGGGGTGCAGCAGCTCCCGGGTCGTGCCGGGCGCCCCATTGCCCTCGGCCCCGGGGCCGTTGGCAGGACTGGCCGGGCCCTTTTCCCGGCTCTTCTCCTTGCTCTTGCGGGCCTTGGGCACGGGGGCGGGCCCGGGGGAAACGATGATGGAGGGCACGGGCTCCAGCGCCTTGCGCGGCGCGGGCTCCGCCTCGCTGATGGCCTTGGCGCCGTGCAGGCGCGGGGGGGACTTGCACTGCAGCTCTCCGTGCGTCTCCCGCCACTTCTTCAGCTGGATCAGGTGCTCCCGCTCGATCTGACGCTCCGTCACCGGCAGCTCGATGACCTGCGGGGACACTTGGCCATCAGCGACAGCGCCACCGGGGCTGGCTGTGGGATCCCCCTCAGGGCACAGGCCACTGCTAACCAAACTTTTTGGGAGCTGCTGCCCATGCTCCGCCCACCCAGGGACAGCCCAGATGGCAGCACTGGCCCCCCAGACCGCCCCCAGCACCTCACCTCCTGCACCAGGAAGGCCTCCTGCATGATTTTGGGGCTGAGGGCCCTCAGCCTCTCCATGGTCTCATACTGGCCCTGGCAGGATTTGAGCTTGTCCGAGGAGCCCAGGGTGTGTTTGAGCAGCACCAGGCCCACCCGGAAGATGATCTTCACTCCTGCAAGAGGAGACGTGAGGCAGTGAGCACCAGGCAAGACAGGGTGACACTGCCACCATGTCCCTCAAATGCTGTGGGACAGCAGATCCCTGCCCCAATAACAGGACATGCAAGAGGGAGAATTTGGGATGTACACACCTCCTAAGCCCCAGGAACACAGCCCACCTCCACCCCAGGCATGCGGCTGCCCCAAAGCTGCCCTGCTACAGGTCCCATGGCCGTGGGGAGTGCAGCCACCCCATGAGGAGGAAGATGAGGAGGAGGATGGTGGGAGCTCCCACCTTCACAGAAGAACATGTCCCAGACGCGCAGCACGGAGCTCCAGGGCAGCGTGCGGGAGAAGGCGCACATGAACCACTCCGTCATGTACAGGATGGGGTCGATCTTCTGCTTGCTCAGGTGCTTGTAGGCCACAGGTGAGACCTTGTGCAGCAGGGAGAAGAGGATCTGTCCGTCCAGCTGGATGGCTTCCTGCAGGGACAGGGAGCAGCATCCCAGTGAGCACCCCAGCCCTGGATCAGCCCCCAGTGCCCCCCAGCAGGGGCAGCCAACCCTCTGCAGCTGATACGAGAGCAGAGCTGTGTCCCATGGATGCTGCACTGAGACCCCCATCCCTGAATGTGAAATGGTTCTGGGAGCCTCGGCACAACAGGGAGACTCTGGGGATACCCAGCCCCTCCCCAGACCCTTTATTTCGCAGGGTGAGGAGCTGGACAAGTTTTTAGCCTGGAGATTCAGTATCGTGGAATGGTTTGGGTTGGAAGGGAACTTAAAACTCATCACATTCCACCCAATTGCCATGCGGTACCTTCCACTGTCCCAGGGTGCTCCAAGCCCAGTCTAACCTGGCCTTGGGCACTGCCAGGGATCCAGGATGGGCACCCTGTGCCAGGGCCTGCCCACCCTCTCAGGGAACAATTCCCAATTCCCAATATCCCATCCATCCCTGCCCTCTGGCACTGGGAGCCATTCCCTGTGTCCTGTCCCTCCATCCCTTGTCCCCAGTCCCTCTCCAGCTCTCCTGGAGCTCCTTCAGGCCCTGCCAGGGGCTCTGAGCTCTCCCTGGAGCCTTCTCCTCTCCAGGTGAGCACCCCCAGCTCTCCCAGCCTGGCTCCAGAGCAGAGGGGCTCCATGGATTCCTCTAGACTTGCTCCAGCAGCTCCAGGTCCCTCCCATGCTGGGCTCAGGGCTGGGGCAGCTCTGCAGGTGGGGTCTCACCTGGGTGGGGCAGAGGGACAGAATCCTCCCTCCCCTGCTGCCCACACGGGGGGCTCAGCCCAGGACACACAGCCAGGGTGTGGCCAACCCTCATCCAGCAGCACCCCAAAGTCCTTCTCCCCAGGGTGCTCCTGATCCCTTCATCCCCAACCCAGACTGATCCTGGGGGTTGCCCCAAACCAGATGCAGCACCCTGCAGGTCCCTGCCACTGCTGAAAGCACCATGAGCCCTTTACTCACCAGTTTCTCGCTGTAGTAGCCAGGGAGGTACTTCTCACAGATCTGCACCAGGCACCAGAACGCTTGCTGCAAGCCAAGGGACAGCAGGTGAGCACCCAGAGCACATCCCTGCAGCCCCCTCCCTGCTCCCAGGGACCACGGGAGAGGGTGGGGAGCAGCAGTGCACCCCTGGGGTGCTTTGGGTTGCCCTGAGGTGGGCACCCCATTCATCAGCACTCCCCAAGGGGCCCCACACCCCCCGGGAGGTGCCAGCTCTGTCCCCGAGC